TGGTAATAAATTAAACTGATTTCCCCAAATCGAGTTTGTTTTTACTGTGATTGTAACTGGTGAGTGATCTCCCTGTCCTTATCTTGACCCACGAGCCTTTCGTTGTATTTCCTCTCCCCTGTCCAGTTGAGGAGGGGAGCGATAGAGCGGCTTTGGTGGGCACCTGGCATCCAGCCAGGGTCAACCCACAGCAATTATTTAAAACCAAGGAGTCAGAGGGAGAGGCAGGGCTCCCTGCTGCTCGCAACTGGCCTCCAGGTCTCAGCCTCTTCTGTCATGTCCAAGACACTTATCAAATCACTTGGTGGGAAGAGACCTCAGGAGATCTCTACTCCAACACAAACCAGAGCCAGGACTCATTTCAGACCAGGTTGCTCAGGGCTTTTTCTAGTTGGGTCTTGAAAAGCTCCAAGGATGGAGAGATCCCTCAGTCTTTCTGGGCCCATCTCAACACTTGCCTGCCCTCACAGGGAAAACTAGTTTCCTTATATCCATCAGGAACCTCTCCTGTTTCAATTTATGACTACTGTCTTCCATCCTCCTGACATGCAGCTCAGTGAAGAGCTTCAGTCCAACTTCTCAACAACCTCCTTGCCAGTACTGGGGAGACCTAATAGCAGCTCTCCAAAGTCTTTCCTTTTCCAGGATGAAGAGACTCAGTTCCCTTAGTCCCTCCTCATATGTTCAGCCCCCTGACCGGTTTGGTGGCCTCTGCAGGACTTGCCCCAGTTTATCAACATGTCTTGTAGCGGTGAGCCCCACACTGAACACGTTTGCCGAGTAAGGGGAATAATCGCTTTCCTCCATCTACTAGCTATACTACCATGAGTACAGTCCAAGACACTATCAAGCCTCTCGGACCACCAGCCTGGAGGCACAGTCGTCCCCAGAATGACTTCTTGGCATGAAGTGGCATTTCAAATCAAGTGTTCAAATGGATCAGATGAGACATTCAAGGATTCGGGGAACCCATAAGGAGGGATGTTTGGAAACATCACCAACCCCACAGAACTCACAGCCTGTTGCCGAATTCCTGATGCCAGGATGGTTTCCAGGGTGATGTTGATGTAAGTGCTGTAGTGAGGATGAGCTGGTGGCAGGTCCTGGAAGTTCAGGATGAGCGATGTGTTGTCCTTGATCACCTCTAGCATATCTGCCAGCTTGCAGACTGACTGGTTGGCAGCTTCCAAGTAGTCAGACCTCGAGAGAGACCCAGCCGTCCAGAAAGGGTCATTCTGAAAGCAAAGCACAACCCGGCATTAGTGCCACAAAACCCATACTCCTCCAACAAAGGTGAAGACCCTTTTCTATCCCACCTTAGCAACAGCTGACAGCAACGCTTGATGACCATCTTGCAGCTTGCTGAAACGCCGCGCCTCAGTTTCCTTACCCAAGGGAAGGTCACTAAAGCAAGGCGTGCTGGGCAGGTCATCCCATTTTCAGGGGGACAGCAGAGCTATAAGGCAGTAACGTAATTTTCCAAAGTAGTAAGCTAAAAATGTACTTTCGCACCCTAGGTACATGATCACCAAGAATTCTTCAGAATCCAAAACCAAAAAGGACCAGCTATTATATAGCTAACGAGCTATGGGCTGTTGGAAGAGATGGGCTCCTGACTTAAGGACGTTCAGGAATGACTCAGCTTCAAAGTACATCCCAAAAAGCAGCCTTCCAGCTGCTGTCTTGGCCCTTCCCATCTGGCAAGCAGCAGTTTTCCCTGCATTCCCCCTCTCACAACCACATCTGCAGGCCAACTAAGTTTCTGTGCAGCAGCACATGCAGCTGTAACACAAAGACATTCCCATCACACCTCCAGACCAGCTCAGATCAGAACGGCAATGAAACTACGGTGGTTTCAGGCTTCCACCAAGCAAGCACCCAGAGAGCTCCAAGCAGGCATGTGAAAATGGTATTTGAGCTTGCATCACTGCAGCGATGCCTCAGCAAGCCCCGTTCAAGCTTGCATGAGTGTGCCAGAGTGCTGCAGTCCTCCTTCCAGACCACAGCTAATGCTCTCCAAGAAGGTTACAGCCACTGGCCAGAGAGCAGCTTGGCAAGAAGAAATCCCACCTGCAACCTGGTTGCATGCCAAAGGATGGGTCAAACCCATCCCACAGCAATTCTCCCTGCCCTGGACTTCAAAGGCTGAATTTCTTGCTTTTTCTTTGTAAGGACAATTGTCTCCAGAAGTAAATTAAAGAAAAAGGAACAGCATATAACACTCTGTCTTTTCTGTTCTCTTTATAATCATATTCCTCCTCAGGAGGGTCTTGAAGTTCTTTGTGGTGTCAACCAGGCATTAAGGCCCCTTATTCCAGGTGGTGAAAGAGCCACAGAAAGACAACGTGTCTTTTAGAACAAGTCTAAGTTTAGTAGAGGACAGAACTAAATGTGGTTCATGGACCCTTGGTCCAGCTGCACTTCAGGCCACTCCACCGAAGAGATGGATCTACACCTCTCCACCTCAAAGAGGGTTTAGGCATGAGCTTTCATCCCACGGCCATGGCTCCAGGACACCCTCTCCATGGCCATACACACCTGTAGGAACCACTCCCCAGCATTGAGCTTTTCCAGGTCGGTCCAGTTGAACATGGAGGAGTGCTCGTAGGCCCGCTCTGGAAACACTTTCTCCACGTTTGTTGTTCTCCTGAGTGTCTTGTCATGCATCAGAAACGGCACTCCATCATAGCTGCAAAGACAGTCAGAGGCCCCATTACAGGTGGAGGTTGCACAACCACGTACACAGTATTAGGGAAATGCCCGTTCCCACTCCAGCCTCTCTCACGGCTTCACATCAAAATCATTGTGAAGATCTCAATCAGCATAACACATCCCTAGCATTCCCAAGACTAGTTGAAATGAGATGCACCTGGAGGAAAAAGCCCCTTAGATACCTGCTAGATGTTAGCAGTCATCCGAATGCTGACATAACCCTACCCATCCATCCCTCCCTCCTCACCACTCCACTACCCCCTCCAAAATTTCTAGAGTGCCAACTCGGGTAGCTGGGACAAGCACACCCACCCTGAATGCTCACGCTAACTAAAGCTTTCTGCAATGTCTGTAGCTCCCAATAATGTCAGAGGTTTTCCATACCTTGTATGCACAGACACACACACAGACTATTCTCAAATTGTTAATAGTAGATGATGAGTAAGAATTTCAAAGGCTCTCAAGACTATACGGGTACCTAATGTTCACAGGTTTTCAGCAAGATGCAAGGGCTCCAAGCTACCAAAATTGCTCTGAAATTGCCTTTACCACTTGAAAACTGGTTTCAGGCAACAGCTATGGTCGCATGAGTTGTTAAGTTCATGCACCTTAAAGAAAACCCACCTCTCAGATGAAACTAAATAGCCAAATGCATGCCCTGTGGTTTTTAAGCCACCTAGATATTACAGAACAATGGTTCTGGGAAACCTAAAAAGCTCTTTAAACTTTCTTCCAGCCCAATTTTCTACTGGAATCAGTGGTAACACCACACAGGGCAATGATGGTTTCTATCAAGGGCAGGGGGACAGTTGTTAGCACTCAGAAATCAAGATAAACCCAGCACAGCCGGGTTATAATGACATTTTCCAAATCAAGGAGCCCATCTTCATAATAGGAGACTCACATAAAGTCTGGAAAGGAGATGGGCTTAAAATACAAACCCCATTTGAATTAGGAGACAATGCAGAGCACTCACCCCCAGAGCCAGAGGGAAAACAAAAACCAATTTTAGATGATGGAGCAAACGCTGCCTCAGCTTTACCATTGCCTGCAGAAGTCCCTTATCACAACGGTCACTGGCATCTTTATTTGCTATTTCTAGCATGCACTGTGCCAACTACTTCCCCCCCAGCCCAAAGCAACACGCTGACACAGCAATACCCTGCTCAGCAGCACACCGTGTTGCTGCAATCAGAAGGGTTTTTAATATATACAGTTTAAAAAAAAAAAAAAAAAAGAAAAGATGCTAAGCAACTGCAGAATTAAGAGTGTGGGGTGTTTAAGGGAGATAGGAGCTCAAGTCTTAACATCTCATAGCAGAGCATTATCAGACACTGCTAAGCCTTAACCACAGTGTGGAAATCCTACGGGGCACTTAACATTTGCTCCCTCCTGTCTAATCCTTCCCCTTACGGAGCCACTCAGCACTACCCAAGGCTAACCGCAATGTATTAGCAGGCACAGGTTTGAAAAAATGATTCAGAGACAGAAGGGAGAGCTTTAGAAGAAGAGATTTGGAGGAGGTAGAAAATGAGAGCGGAACATGCAGTGATACCACACTCCTGCTGCTTGAAGCAAAGTTGGCTTTATAACCAGCACTGGCTTTATAACCAGGGCCACCCAGTTTGGGGTGTGTAATGGGTAGGGAGCAGGATGTGGTAGGTCTGAGTGTATGTCCAAGCAGCCCACACATGGCTGATACGTGCCTAGAGGAACATGGAGACATCCCAGGAGGGATGTCCTGGAGACATCCCAGGTGGAGTGGACCCATCAAGCCACAGGCACAAAGAGCATCTTTCAAAGGCATAAGGACAGCAATGGGTCTTGTGCCGCAAACCCTTCCCAAAATTGCTGCCAGCTGTATTGATAGCTCACTTTTTGGTCTGAAGGTCAATGGACTCCTCTTTTTATAAAGACACTTGGGCCTCCTAGAGAGGGCCTCAGATAACTGTGCCATCAAGGGCATTGTTTAAGCTATGGATGCTTGAAGTGCTCTTCTGGGATGGCTGATGAGTGGCAACATGGAAAGTTCTTGGAGTCCACCTTTTCCCTTGGCCAGTGCTAATGGAAGCAACCAATTCAGCCACCACATGAGCTGCGTGCTCATTTGTGCGTGCGGACAGTCAAGTAGTTGTCCCTTCACAACTGTTAATGAACTGATTTTTGAAAGAATTATATTGCAAACATCCCAATTCATCTTTCATCCTTCCACGATGACCTTCCATTCCCTAGGTGGAAGAAATTCCTTTAGTTTTTATATTATTTGCTCTCAAACAATTACACAAAGACCAAAAAAGCATCCTAACAATTAAACTTCAGAAGCCCATCTTCCACCAGGCAAAAATATCTTTCCATCAACAACAACCTCCAAAGCAGTCAGGGAAAAAGAAAATGTCAGCTTTGAGTCTTTCTTGTATTTATAACTGGAACTGAGACAAACTGAGGGATCACCAAGATAAGGCATTACTGTTTCCTTCATGCCACTTCTGCCCTCTTGCACATCTATGTAACACATGCGGAAAACACAATTCAGAAAAGGAACAAGAATATTAAAGAATTATCAAAATCCTGGAACAAAGCACAGTTCTTGAAATAACCCTCTCTAAATCCTCTCTAAATTGGCCTTGTCAATTCAGCTTAACATTCTCCTGCAAGGAATAACTTTTTGACAGTCAACAGTATCACCGGGTTCCTCCTTCCCCCAGCACCAGTGACATGCGAGGGAGGGGAGGAGGAGAAAGGGCTTACTCCTGGGCTGCTAAATTCTTGTGACAGTTTTGCAAGGCTGATAAAAACCCTCCTGAAGACTTGCAGTGCAATGAAGCCAGTTTGGGATCTCCGCGCTCTCTGCACCTGGGGCATCCCAACAAAAGTCACATTTAAGCAGTTCTGTCTCGTCCCAAGGCCAGCCGACTTCAAGCCAGGCTAGAAACCAGGTGCTGTGTTTCACCGCAATAAAGCAAGCTCTAGGATGAACCACAGTCTTCCTGCAAATGAAGATTAGTTTCATGACAAAGGTATCCAGATTCCCCCACCCTGGACAACTTCACCTTTAATCATGATCTCAGTGAAACAGTTAGTAGCATCTGTGTCTTACAAATGGAGACAGCTAGGAGTTACCGGATACATTCACCAGGAGAGCCCTTTTCAATGGGAAGAAGTGGTAACCAGACACACACCAGATAGGAAAAACCCACCAGCATGGTTTGGGCCATCCACAGAGAGTTTCAGACCAACCAGCACACTGGCTTACCTCAGTACGACATCAGCTTGGACTCCATACATCTTCTGCTCCACTGCCTTCTGGAAGGACATCAGAGTGTTTTCTGGTGCCAACTATGGGGGGGGGGGAAAAACAAAAAGAGCAGCGAGAGATTAGTAGTAAGTGGAAAAGTTTACAAAGCAGTGTCAGCGAGGATGCTGGGAGGAAGGTTTAGAGATATTAGGGAGCTGAAACAATCTTGTTTTGCAGATTACGCAGTGGCCAGTTACACTGGAGTACCAGCATCCCCCAGGCAGAATTGCATCTTACTGAAGTCTGGAGGTGACCAATACATTTGACTCCACTGATGGTCTTTCACACACAGGACAGAGTTCAATGCAGAGTTATGACCTGCAACACCAGAAACCTGGCTAGCTCGAGGTCTGGTGCAAAATTAGTGTATGAGAGGTTTGCTCACCAGCGTGGTCCCCCAAACAGTGGCTTGCTGAGATCCCCCGAAAGTGATTGTTAATGTGATGCCAATTCTCTATCCACAGGTTATATCTAGAGCTATCTAAAACACCTTAACTGTTCTTCATTCTCCTACTTTCTATGCAAACAGTAATTTCAATGCCATTATAGAAAGAAGAAAGTCCATAAACCGGGGTATTATCCATACAATGGAGAACAACTAGACCACAGGTTCTGTAACACACATTTTCGTTCCACATCTACTCATTCAATAAAGTCATCTATTACTCAGTCTAAAAACCAGATGATTTCTCTAATAACAAATGTTCTAGTTAGTTTTAACAACAATTAAAAAAAAGCCTAGAAAATTTATCCCCATGGCTATGACAGATAAGGACTCAAATTTTATTTCAAATTCCTTCCTGTTGAATGGAGCAGATGGTAACAGAATTCTGGTTTGTTTAAAAACAGCACAGTGTGAAGACAAATACTTTGTTTTTCTACAAAACCAGTACAGTATAGCTAGCCCCAAAATGTCCATAAACCAACAACAGGCAGATCAGGAAAAAAAAAAAAAAAAAAAGACAACTACAGAGAGAAAAACTGGCAGGTTTTCTGCACTAAAACACAAGCACATCAAAATAAAGCTATTTTTAATTTTTTTTTTTTTTTTTCCAGTTTTGCTTTCAGGTTTAGAGCACCTGTAACATCCTGTTTTTCCACTCATCTCTGCCACCACCAGGATCAGTAAGTTTCCATCAAGACACAATGAGCATTCACAATCCATGATTTTCAAGAATTACTTAGGGTTTGGAAAGAGGAATAATCAAGAACAAAGACCTAAATGCACCATGCAAGCAACATGCACAATAAATACAAAAAACTGCTCAGGAGTTTAAGGTGTTTCTGAGAATCATTTGTTTTCTTATTAACTGAGAACCTTTCACGCTCAGGTCAGCAAAGCTTTGGAGTGAAATAATCAGACCAAATGTCAGCAACAACCTTCACATAGCTCTGGTATCTCTCTACTGAATTCCTCTGGCTCAAACCACGCAACGATACTCGTTCGTTTTTCTTTTTGTTCAACAAAGGCAACACAGATGCATGTTATCTTCCTAAAAAAACCTCCCAATCAAAGCCTGACTTGTCTAGGAGAAGACAGAGGCAACGCCCCATCACACCCTCTTGCACAGCCCAGCGCTGGGTCACGCAAGGTCGGGCTGAAAGAGCTTTTTGCAATATATTCACGATGCCCAGAGCTGTCAGCAGGGAGCAGCAGCCACATAAAGATCTAAAGATCCCATCCAGGCAGACCTGCTCCATCTCCTGGGGTTGCTTTCAGCATCTCGGGTTCCCCCCCTCAAGTAGCTCAGGTTTCTTCAGGATAACACTGCAAGGTGAGCCTCCCTCTACAGGGTAATGCTCAATATTTGCTTTCAGAGACTGCAGCAATCACTAGGAAACAAAGTGTCTAGTGTTCAAACTAGAGACAGCTGAACTAGAGAAACCAAAGGGTGATGCAAGACCACCAGCCTAAGTCAGGAAGGGTTGCTGGGTGGATGCAACACAAGTCCCAGCTCAAGATGTGACACCACATCAAGCAGCAACTGAACTCACGCCCCTATAAGCAGTCTAGCCAGGGATGCGGACATACAAGGAATAGAAAAGCAAAGCGTGTTGAGTTGTAAATCATCTCTCAGGCTAAGGGAGACTGGAAAGGGTGGGTTGGTCTACCTCCAGTAAGCAGTCAACGTAAGCCTACCCTGCGACACAGGTAGGACGACATGGGTAGGGCGACACTGCTGTTACCCACCTACACAATGAAGAGCTCATATTGCATGAATCAGGGCTTACAAAGGCAAACAAGCGTGGGTACAACAGTATTCCACCTCTGTAGAGGTGGACCAGCATGACCAAGGTCTTCTCATGTCTTACCTGTACACCAAACTCTTGGCACAGCAGAATCCTAACCCAGAGAGGGCACAGGCTCTGCTGTTTGACAACAAGATTAAAAACGCTTCTTGCCTCTTTCCAGTGTATTTCAGTTTCTGCAGGGCCGTGGTCAAGCCTTGCTTGGACACCAGCCCTCCTGAGATGCAGTTGGTTTGAGATGCAGGGGAAGCTTTAACTTAAAGCACAGGGTAGCCCCAGCCTCCACTGCTGGAGGCACTCGAAGGAAACATGGAGCCAAACAGATCTGAGGTGGCAGGTCAATACGCCAAGAGCCTCCATCAGCTGGACTGGGGAAAAATAAATTCAGACAGAGCTGAGACTGCACGCAGAGGTGATAGATGAAAGCCAAATAGGAAAACAGCCTTTTGGGGATGGGATTTCTGTTTGCCAGACTGGACAAATTCGACCATGTGAAGATAGTAGTGATGTCCATGCACCTTAGTGGTAGTGCTAAAATATAGGTTGCAATGAGATAAAAACTGAGATTTTTTTTTTAAGTTTTAAAACTCGGCACACTGTGACTGTCCCATCCTCAGCACTCAGACAGATACCACTGAGCTTAACCCCATGGAGAGCCCATCTCAGCCCCAGGAGTGGAATATCCCACTGCAGCTTCATCTCTAGCCCCTACAGAGCCCGCAGACCACGCTTCACCCTTCAAAAAGGGCAAAACTTAACTGGACTCCACCAGGGCTGCATGCGGCTGCTTAGCTACAAGGCACATCCAGTCCCTTCCCACGAACTTGATCCCAAACAAAAGTTAAATAAACTTACAAAACTCTGGCCAGACCTGTGTTGAAAACTGCAGCTGTGCAGAGGAAGCAGCATTTTAAAACTGTTCTAAGGACAGGTTGTTACTTAAGGTGCAACCATCCAAATACACACTTAGGAGCTGTAACGTCATCTTCATCACACCACAACTAGCAGTGAAGAGCATCCTCTTGCAGAGCATCACAGATGGATGAACATCTCTGGCTGCCCTGAACCAGCAAACAGCACGGACGTCAGCAGAAGTGTTCTCCATAACATCGTGCCCCACGATGGCACGTGCTGGGTAGTCTCTATAACACCACAATGCTGTCACTTGACAGCCCAATTCCCTGCATGTCAGAAGCTTTTGAAAAGTAGATTATAAACCTTCCAGGCAAAGATGTCATCTTCTTGTGAGCATGTGGTGGGTAAGCTCCTAACCTGGCCAGAGCCAGTCACCCCGAAATAAATAATTGCATCTCCAAATGAGTCCATCATCGATGCAGAAAGCTGTCCTCTCTGGTTTCTAAACCTCTCGGTCGATCCTAGCCTTGAGGGAACTGAACAAGCCACTCACACCAACGACATAACCCAATGAAGGTCAACCAGAAAGCCAGGGAAGCAAACTTTACCCCGTCCTCTAAAAATCAGATGGTGCCTATTCCTGGAGGTTCCCCTGACACCACTTCGGAGGCAGGATCTCTCTGTACCACGAGTTCATATCCCTTACAATATGAGGTTTTTGTGAAAAGAGAGAATCTGAGTAACAGATATTTCCATCATCCCAGCCTGTCTCTGTCTCCCTCCAAGAAAGAGGGAGCTGAAGCCCTAAATTCAGCATTTTTAGGGCAGAGATGCACCCAAGCGAGACAGTTGCTGGTACAGAAATTACTTGCTCAGATTAGTGCTGATTTTTTAAAAGGTTTTACAGCAAAACTTCAAGGACTAAATAAATGCATAATTTTTCTGCTCGTATTTCTCTGTCTCCTTCCAGTTTCTTTGATGGGTTTTCCTCCTTGATACAATACATTCAGGCACTTTATGTCTAAAACCCAAACCCAGGTTTGCAGTGATCCAGTGCAACTGGACACAACCAATTTCTTAAGAAGTGAAGGAAGCCCTGGGGCACAAAGCAAGGATTTCACTCCAAAACCTCTGTCCTATATAAACCATGTCAACATCCCCTGAAAGCCACAGACAGACCCTGTGCAGGGTTTGTAGAAGCTGTTCCTTCTCTCCACACTTAGTCTGATAGGCTCATCCCTTGCAAAAATCAGGCTACTGTTCATTTCTTCCTACTAGAGAGACACAGCAACTAATTTCTAGAAAATTACCCATGAATGAACTCATTTTCACTATTTTTGTGCTTAGAAGTCAATTGCAAATGCTTTCAAATGGAGTCAAGAGCTTTGGACCTTCCTTAACGAAGGTTATTGCTAGTTAGAGCAGCGTAGCCTTGCTACAGTTGGACATCACTGCACCGTATTTTTCCCCTAATTAGCCACCTTGCCAGGCCTTAAAAAAAAAAAATCACTGCATCATTTGCATGTTGGGGAGGCTAACGAAGCAGCTTGCACAAAAGAACTGAATTTGTTCCAAACTAACTGCAGCCACTGCACACCTCTGGCACTGTGGGCTGAGCTGCACTGAAGGATTTGAAACTGCTTCACCAACAAGCTTTACGGATATTTTCTCATCCTTTCGGAAACATGAGCAGCATTTAAATTTTTTTTTAGTTTTCCCTCCCTTATCTCTCCTTTCCAGTATCAATCTCCTCGTGAGCCAATAATTGGACTACAAACATAAGGCATGATTAGGGCGATACCTGAAAAATGGTATTTTCCTTCCTGTAAAAAGATGCCCTTTGGAAGTTCCCTGTATGGGACTTAGTGTGGATTTCAGCGTTGGATTTCAGCATTAGGGTCCCATCATGCCAGGTCACTACGTGGCAATAACGATA